GAGAATGAAGAAGTGATCTATACCACACGCCATGGATGGATCTTGTTTTGTTTTCAAGGCTTAGAGAATCTCACAAAGTGAGTAGATCTAGAGTTTTCAAACCAAGCTTGGACCTTTGAGACCCTTGAACATGAATCTCAACCCTAGACCCTCTTTCTTAGTATTCTTACATCTCTGTTAATCATTCGCTTGTTATCTGTTGCATCCTGGTCATTAGTTCCGTTGCATTTGAACTTTTAGACGAGATCGATCGTTGTTGCTCGATCTAGTGGTCGATCATGTGGTCGATCCACTAGTCGATTTTTATAAATTCATAGCTTTGCATTTTAATCATTATGTTTGTTCACTCGTTCCTGGTAATTTTAAAATAGTTTTGCCTTGCATTTAGTTGTTGCATCTAGTTTTTAGGATTTTCACAAAACCGTTCATCATTTGCCTAGCTTTACTCGATCCTTGCATTCTCATTGCACTTTCTAGCTCCTAGGTTGGATTGATTCCTCTTGCATGCTATACTACGACTGTGTGCTGCTTGAGTTTTGATAACCTCCTGTTGCATTGCATCACTCCCTTTTGACATTGCTAAAAAGCTGTTATCACATATATTTAACAACCTATGAATTTCGGGTTTCTAGATGATGTGTCTAAGAAATTCGATTTTAAAGCAAGCAGAGATGAAAATCCAAAAGATATTCCTAACAGGTAGCAATTCTACAAACTCTTCATCAAGCTTTGAAAAAGCCCTAACTTAACTAACAAATTACTCAGACATGCTCATGGAATCACAAAACATAACTTAATGAATTTGCATTAAAAGAATAGAATAAAAACAAAGGGGTTCGAAATCTTCTCCAAAAAGAGTACAAGATCTGTCTCCCCAAAAGCTCTCAATAAAATCCTCTCTAAAGCTCTCTGAATTCTCAAAAACTAAGATCAAAAGCCAACAATGGCTGAAAAACTTAATAAATAGAGGCTAAACACGATCTGGGGCCTTCTTGCAAAATACTGCAACTTCTCGGCCAATTCTGTAAATAATGCTCCATCTTTTAAAAGCCAAGCCACGACCTCTTCCTTTCTGGGTGACGAGCGTCACCATAGGTGGTGACGAGCGTCACCTAAATGCATACTTTTCTTCTCGAGCTGGACACTTCGTGGCTTTAACTTGTAATGTTCCGAAAAGCTTCAATATCCCCAATTATGCACCAGACATGTTATAACCTGCAATGACTCTACTAGGACTCTAAAAAGACCAAAAAAACTCAATAAAAAAGACTTATATCATGGTTAAAAACCATGATATATCATCGTCCCAACCCCACAGAGACCTCCAAAGCTTCGCTGCCTTGTTCATACCTCTGATTGCACATAACGGAGCTCAGAGCTTCCTTAATCGATAACCCACCAGGCTCCCATACACGTTCATCCCCAAATGAATTATCGGATCCTTTCTCTTTAATTCCATCTCTGCTCTTTCCCATAAATTCTCGCTCGACACAATTGGATGGCTTAATCGACGTGGGTAGACCCTTCTCTCTAGATCCTCTTTGCTCCATAAGATTTTGTACGGTAGGAAAAACCTCGACACAATTCAATCATCAGTTCAACCCAAATCACCCAAAATTTCCAGATTTTTGCAATTTTCATCATGAACTCGAAAATTCAAAACATGCAAATCAACCGATAAAAGCTCACATAGATGGTTCCATTCCTCTAATATAACCTAACTAACCATGATTCAACAGTTAAATCAAGCCAAACAAGTCAAAAATCGGATTTTACCAAACCTATGGCGGACTGAAAATTGGGGATTCCGAACACATACCTTGCAGATCTTAAAAACCGAGTGGATATTCAGAAAGAGGAGCAAAATCCACACGGATTAGACTCTTGAATCACTCAATTTGGTTTAGAAAATCAAAAGTTATGAATCTCTGAAAATTTCTAAGTGTTCGATAGTTTAAACAGTTATCCCCGAGGAAGAAGAAGAGAGAAAACTAATAACCGTGTCCGACTTCGACGGGTGACGAGCGTCACCATAAGGGTGACGATCGTCACCACCTTTTTTTTTTTTAACTAATATTAATCTAATTACTAATCCTAAGCACGAAAATAATAACTAAGTGTTATATCTACAACTTACCAGTTGGTTGCCTCCCACTAAGCGCTTGTTTAAAGTCATTAGCTTGACTTTGGTTGGCTGTTTAGACAGCTGGTGCCTGATCCAGAGACACAATGTGTCCTGCTGGAATCTATGCTTGTGCCCAGTAGTGCTTCACCCTTTGTCCATTGACAGTGAACTCCTCTCCTTTGGAGTTAATCAGGACAATTGCACCATGTGGGCGAGCTTCTTTGACAGTGAAAGGACATGACCATCGAGAACGCAATTTACCAGGAAGAAGCTGTAAACGAGAGTTGTAGAGTAATACCTGGTCATTGGGCTCGAAATGCCTGGAGATGATCTTTTTATCATGATATGCCTTTGTCCTCTCCTTGTATAACTTGGAGTTTTCATAGGCCAGATATCTGATCTCATCTAGTTCATTGAGCTGAATCAAACGCCTTTCCGCAGCAGGCTTCAGATCGAAGAATAAAATAAAAACAAAAGGGTTCGAAATCTTCTCCAAAAAGAGTACAAGATCTGTCTCCCCAAAAGCTCTCAATAAAATCCTCTCTAAAGCTCTCTGAATTCTCAAAAACTAAGATCAAAAGCCAACAATGGCTGAAAAACTTAATAAATAGAGGCTAAACACGATCTGGGGCCTTCTTGCAAAATACTGCAACTTCTCGGCCAATTCTGTAAATAATGCTCCATCTTTTAAAAGCCAAGCCACGACCCCTTCCTTTCTGGGTGACGAGCGTCACCATAGGTGGTGACGAGCGTCACCTAAATGCATACTTTTCTTCTCGAGCTGGACACTTCGTGGCTTTAACTTGTAATGTTCCGAAAAGCTTCAATATCCCCAATTATGCACCAGACATGTTATAACCTGCAATGACTCTACTAGGACTCTAAAAAGACCAAAAAAACTCAATAAAAAAGACTTATATCATGGTTAAAAACCATGATATATCATCGTCCCAACCCCACAGAGACCTCCAAAGCTTCGCTGCCTTGTTCATACCTCTGATTGCACATAACGGAGCTCAGAGCTTCCTTAATCGATAACCCACCAGGCTCCCATACACGTTCATCCCCAAATGAATTATCGGATCCTTTCTCTTTAATTCCATCTCTGCTCTTTCCCATAAATTCTCGCTCGACACAATTGGATGGCTTAATCGACGTGGGTAGACCCTTCTCTCTAGATCCTCTTTGCTCCATAAGATTTTGTACGGTAGGAAAAACCTCGATACATGACTCGAGAGACACATTGTGTGTTGAATTGCACACCAACTGATCGGTAAATTCCCAACCGGTTTTACCGAATTTCCATCAGTTCGAGCTCTTCTGTGTGCTTCATCGACTCTTCTTCTTGATCTAAAGTAACAGGAACCTGCAAAACTTCCTTACTGCTCTGATCTAACTTAGAGATAAGTGTTGTAGGAGTCTGAAAATGTTCGCCTGAAAGGTAATAGCAGAAATCCACTGGAATCGCTTCCCTGTCTTCTCCATACTTTTGATTGTGCATAAGCTGACACAGATAAACCTTAATCCAGAACATACTATCGGAAATCTACTCTGACAAGGGGATCCTAGACTTGAGTTCCCGCAATCTATCTTGCAGATCTGATGCAAAAGCAGCCACTCGTGTAGAAGCCATTGCAGCTCTCAACGAAAGCACCAATTGATAGAACCCAAATTCTATCAAAACCAATTAGAATTAGTAACAAGAGAAATTAGGGAAAGAGATGAGAAATAGAAGAATATGAGATGAGAAAAGAAAGAAAGAGGGAGAAGATAACAGCTGATCTGAGACGCCACTCTCTTAATATGATTGATCAATAATCGGATGAAAGGGTTTTGCAATGGTTGCTCTCGATATATGCACAAATTAAGAAGAATGGCATAAACATAAATAAGATGAGTGTTCAACAGATGTGGGCTTCGATCTTCATCGTCAATTCAATGGGTTTCGTCCAAGCCCAATAGAGGGTCGTTTGAGTTACATGTCGGATAGATGGTTCATGGAAAGAAACAGTTGCTAATGCTAGGTTAGGATGGTATTACGAGGGGATAGGGAAGAGGACACACTAATAGGTGCAAAGAATGTAAAACGCAGTCTTTCACTATTACACACACAACTCGAAGCATTGATATGGGCTATGCATTATATGCAAGGAGATTAAATAATGGAATTTGTGAGATACTGCTCTGACCTGATGAAGATAATGTCTAATCTAGAGGAGTGTCTGACTTTCTCATTAAGGAGTTCGATTCTTTCTCTATTTCACATATCCCATGTATGCAGAATACACAAGCGGATAAACTGGTAGGAAGTGCCTAAAACTACATTTGTTCTCTATATTATCTAAAGTCTATTCCTCCCAAAATGCTGATGTCAAAAAAAAAAATTAACAAGATTTTAAATTTTAATTATAATATGATAATTGATTTGTTAAAGTTTTATGAAAATAAATATCTAAATAGATAAATCATTATAAATCATATGAAAATAAAACCTCTAAATATTTAGATAATTGCATAAAATTTAATTGGAAAAGCATTTTTAAATATTTTGGTAGTTTTTATTTGATAAATTTAATTTTATTTTATATTTTCACATAGATAATTGAATTTAAAAAAAAAAATTACAGATTTTAAAACAAATTTTAAATCCGTGCTGTCCTTATAAACTAAAATTAAATGCAATCATTGATTATATCAAATAAAACGTTAACGCGCTAAACAGACCAACGAGGCCCAACATATTTGATTCCAAACGGGTTAACCCAAACCCTAACCCAGCAATCGTGGAGTGTGGATTGATGGTGTAATTAGAAGCTGTTGTTGTATAATAGTGATTGGCGCTGCCACGTTGATAAACTGTATCATTCATTGCCAACAAATACATTTAATTTCATTGTCAATAGTTCTACTACTTCATTGAATTTTAAGATTTTTCGTGAGCAACTAATCACATTAACTTATAGTAAGACAGGTAGGAGGTTGTTTTCGTGCTTGCGTCAGTCGGTGCACATGTAACGGAGATAAAAACGAAAACGGACACTCTGCTGAGCACACCTGTCTCTCCGTTCCTCCTTCCTCCAGCTTCTTCTAGTTTTCTCTTTTCTGCTTCAGAGTCACAGACTCAGAAGTTTCCAAGAAATTCTGTAAAATCTCTCCATCTCTCTGTCTCTCCCTTTTCTAAATTCTCGTACATGTGATCTGGGTTAGCTTAAAGTGAGGGTTTTTTTACTGGGTTCTTGTGTTCTGTTTTGGCTGTTCCATTTTCAGGCACAATAATTAAGCTTCTTGAGCTCAAATTTCGTGACTTTGGTTTCTTTTGGGATTTTGGGTTTCTTTCTTCCTTCAGTTTTTGGGTTAGTGAAAGTTTTGGTTTTTATTAGTTTATTGTGTTCTGTTTCGCCTCCTCCTTATACAGGGAGAATATAAAGCTCTCTGGAGCTCAAATTTCGTACCTTTTGTTTCTTTGATATTTTGGGTTTCTTCAGTTGAGTGAAAGTTTTGGTTTTTGTTTGTTGCAGGGCTAATAAGATGTCAGCTCCAGCACCGAAAGCGTCTGAGCCGCAACCACATCCTCCGAAGGAACAGCTTCCAGATATCTCTTATTGCATTACAAGTCCTCCTCCATGGCGTAAGTTTGTATCTTTTTGCATTTCCATAAATTTTGGGTTCTCGATTGTTCTTCAGACCTTCACGGTAATGTACAGTCGAAGACTTTGTGACTGATTGGATTCTTATATTTTTACTTTTGATGAAAGTGGGTCTTGTATTGGTATCATTACCTTTTTGCTTTTTGTTGTAACGTGAGGATTCGATTCTTACTTTTTCTTTTAGAACTGTTCATTTTACCTTGAGAATCTTCTACCTGTTTTGGGAATCATTCTCTGTAACATAGGAGAATAAACTTAATCACCCATTGAAACATGTATTTTTTTATTATCTAATTATTTTCTGGACTCAGTTCTTTAGAATTAGATTCTGATGTTTGTTATAGGGATCTGTTTCTAATTTGGTAAGTGATTTTTGAGTAATTCTTGAAGCTTCTGAATTAGTACATGTGATATTCAAGACTTTAATTTATATTTCAGCTGAGGCTATTCTGCTTGGGTTTCAACACTACATTGTGATGCTTGGAACAACAGTTCTGATTCCATCGGCTCTTGTTCCACAAATGGGAGGTAGAAATGTATGTCTCTTCTCTATAAAAAAAACTTGTGCAGATTATCTTTTTCAGTCTTTTTTATTGCACTTAAAGGTTTATAATTCTTGCAGGAAGAGAAGGCAAAGCTGATTCAGACAATACTCTTTGTAGCTGGAATAAACACGTTGCTCCAAACAGTGTTTGGTACTAGATTACCCGCTGTTATTGGAGCATCTTTTACATTTGTCCCTGTTACAATCTCAATCATGCTTTCAGGGAGATTCAACGACATTGCTGATCCAGTTGATGTTCGTAGCTCACACGATCAATAAAGTTTTGGTTATGTTTATCATTAGTTTACTCTAAAGTACCCTTTTGATGATGACTTATAGCGATTTACGAGGATCATTCGGGCAACACAAGGCGCTCTAATTGTTGCTTCAGTTCTTCAAATTATCCTTGGCTTCAGTGGCCTTTGGCGTAATGTTGTAAGGTCAGTCTTTAGTCTTCTACATTAGACTAAAATTTTGTTTCACTGTTTCGGTTTAAGAACATGTCCTTGAACATCTGTAATTACGTATAGGTTCTTAAGTCCTCTTTCTGCTGCTCCTCTGGTTGGATTAGTTGGTTTTGGCCTGTACGAGCTCGGCTTTCCTGGTGTAAGTCATCTTGTTCTCTGTAAATGAAAACACAATATTAAGCTAGTGGAATCTTGATTCTTTCTTGTTTGACCAGGTTGCTAAGTGTATCGAGATTGGACTCCCGGGGCTTGTTATTCTTATAGTTATATCACAGGTAATTGTAGTTACATTATCTGTGATGAGTTATTGATTGATGTTTCTTATCGTCCGGGTCATGCTTTTTGTAGTACATGTCACATGCTTTAAAGGGAGGAAAACATGTGTTTGCTCGCTATGCTGTCATATTTTCAGTGGGGATAGTGTGGCTTTATGCTTTCTTTCTTACAATTGGTGGTGCCTATAATGGTGACAAAACAAATACTCAAAGAAGCTGTAGGACTGATCGTTCTGGGCTCATAAGTTCTGCTCCATGGTAAGAAGACAATACAAGGCTTGGACATTGTGATATCTAACAAGAATGTCATCTTCTTCAGTGACTTTGATACTCAAGTGTGGCTTACCATTTTATGATTAACGTATTGTGTAGGATAAGAGTTCCATGGCCATTCCAGTGGGGAGCACCATTGTTTGATGCCGGGGAAGCCTTTGCCATGATGATGGCTTCTTTTGTTGCTCTTGTTGAGGTTTGTATCCCTTATTTCCACCACATGTAGTTACATTACACAATTATCTCCATCATCATAGGTTGTATACTGAGTAAGCTTTTAAAGCCAATGAGACTCATCTATTCATTCCTTTGAAGTTTCTTGCTCTTCACTTTAATCTTATCTTGTTTACTCTTTTGTTTATCACCAAAAACAGTCAACAGGCGCTTTTATTGCGGTCTCAAGATATGCTAGTGCCACAATGCCGCCGCCTTCTGTTATCAGCCGCGGTGTTGGTTGGCAGGTAAATAGTCACTTCAAAAGTTTCATTTACAAACATCAGCAATGAAGTTTTTTAACGTTGTGTCTCAACTTCTTGTTTAGGGAGTTGCAATTTTGATTTCAGGGTTGTTTGGAACTGGCATAGGGTCTTCAGTTTCTGTGTAAGACCTCATATTTTCCTTCTCCAAACCTAAAACATGAGTTGATTTTGTATGTTGCTTTTGTGTTGCAGTGAGAATGCGGGTCTACTAGCACTTACAAAAGTTGGTAGCAGGAGAGTTGTCCAAATATCTGCAGGCTTTATGATATTCTTCTCCATTCTTGGTAAGCTTTGTCTCTTTCAATTAAAGTACCATAAGAATTGAAGTAGAGCTCTTTAATTGGTTGTCTTATATATAAATCTAATGCAGGGAAGTTTGGGGCAGTGTTTGCATCAATACCTGCTCCTATCATTGCTGCCTTGTACTGTCTCTTCTTTGCGTATGTAGGTAAGTATTGTGTGCAAGTAGAAGTAAACAAATGATATCAGGGGTGGGCAAATTTGGTTTACCTTTGGACTTTGAAATGGTTCAAATCAGCTTTTTTCTTTTTTTTGGTTTGGTTCGGTTTTAGTTTTCGGTTTTTAAGTTATGGAAAAAATTCATCCATTTAAACCTTATTAAGATATGGTTCGGATCGGTTTGGTTCATCCGGATTATACCCCTAAATTTACATTACATAGATAGAAATGTAAAGTAAAATATAAATTGTAATCAAGAGTTACTTTATTCATTTCGGCATGGTTACAATAGAATCTATTACAGTTTTCGGTTTTAGCATTGCTGTTCAGAATTGGTTGTTACTATATCTAAAAACAAAAACTGTTGATCAGGTGCTGGAGGACTGAGTCTGCTGCAATTTTGCAACCTGAACAGCTTCAGGACGTTGTTTATATTGGGGTTCTCAATCTTCCTAGGCTTATCAATTCCACAGTATTTCAACGAGCACACAGCCATCAAAGGCTATGGTCCAGTTCATACCGGAGCAAGATGGTTCAACGACATGGTCAATGTTCCTTTCTCGTCCAAGGCTTTCGTGGGAGGATGTGTGGCATACTTGTTAGATACGACCCTTCACAAGAAAGATGGTTCGATCAGGAAAGACCGAGGTAAACATTGGTGGGACAGATTCTGGACTTTCAAGAGTGACCCGAGAACCGAAGAGTTCTATGCTCTTCCTTTTAATCTCCATAGATACTTCCCTTCTGCCTGAAAAAACCATACAAACCTTCACTTTAGGTTTACATACCTTATCCAGTTGGGTTTGTGTGTATATTCGGTGAGGAGAACAACGAGATGAGTTCTTGCTTAATGTTTCTATGTTTAGATGTTTTACATTATAGGATGATGCTCGTTTTGTCAAATTTAGAACTTATGAAAAATGATTGCCACAAAAAGGGAAATTTTGTGAGTTTGGATGGTTTAGTTCTCAAACTCGTTAACAATCTAGTGGATTTTAAAAATATTATTTTTATGATAACACTACTTACATATAGAATTATAATTTTATTTTGTGTTTTAGAAAATACCACCTTTTATATGTTGTTATCAGCTTGTTTAAATTACTACTATTTATTTACTACAAGCAGAATTGTACTGTCAAGGCATGGTGGGCTTCCTTTTTCATAGGTTTGTCCAAAGCCATACTTGACCTTACAATATGAAATAGTTCTCCTGATGCGTTTGGAAGCTGTGCTAAGATAAAACGTTGATGTACTCTTAAGTCTTCTCATAGGTTCTTCGAGATTACGATACAAACTTGATTACTAGTTTCTTATACTGAATCTCTGATTTTGATTTATGAATATATACAAAATTTTGGGGATTTAAGAAAGATTTGAAATTTGAGCAAATTTTGAAGAACTATTATTGTTAGAAATCCTATGATTAGATGAAACTTTAGAAAGAAACTAAAAGGTTGATTTTTTAAAAATCTCAAATACTGTTATATGAGGTGGTATCTATACCCTTTGATCTTTTACTAAAATTTATCTTTCAAATAATTCAAAATCATTTTTTGGTTGAATTTGTTAGTGATAAACATTTAATGGAACTTATAAAAACAACTAATACAGATTGTGAAATAAAAATTTAATGGATTTTGAATAAGTTTTAAAAATACAAGACTTAATAAGAAAAGATTTAGAAAAAGTAAAATAATCTCAAATCATTTAATTTAATATGTCTCATAGTTTTATTCACTAACCAGCTGCCATCTAACAAGAACTAAGAAAAATGGGAAACATAATATTTGTACAATGTTGAGAAGGATCAATGGCTAGACTACTTTGAATATTTATAACTCTCTCATAATTTACATGTGTTTCTCTTTTATAGCGAAATATAAAAACTATTTTTGCCTTTACCATCAACTCAGCATTTTATCCATCTAATTAGGTAATAAAATTTAAATTTTCTAATAAAAAAAAATTTGAAGAAATTTATATAAATGACTAAAACAGCAACATTAGACTATTTCTATTGGTAGAACCTCAATTGGGATTCTTAACAATTTTTTAAAACCCATTCATAATAAGACCAAGTATAAAGTCCACTCAGAAGCCCAAATAATAAAAGAAATTACAAACTTAACACTAAGGTGACCAACACGTAGTCTTTTGAAAAAACCTAATTATGACACTTCATACACACGTGTCTTGATTGAGCAAGCTGTTGAATACAACGCCGCCTCTTAGCTACTCCACCGGAACTTCGCCGCCGACAGAGCTTCATGACGCCAATTCCTCTCGGCGGTTCAACACAGTACCTTTTGCATAATGATCACCAGAAGCAATTACTGAATCTTACTGGAATTGCTTAATCCTGGAAACGGCGATAGCTCTAGAAAATAGAATACTTGTCAAGAAAACACCTCTTAAGAAACATCTCCTATGAGACCCCAACTTCTACTTATTCTGAACTAAAGTAAACACCGAAATCCCATCAACTCAATTTCCAACTCAAAGAGATACTTCGCTTTAGTCAAGGAAAAGCGAAGAACCAAATCATACTCTTATGAGAGAGAAATCAAGCAGAACCAGTAAAAATAAGAACCAATCACCCTTCTGGAATAAATCTTCTTCAGATGAAGATTTTGAGAACATGCAAAAGGCTAAAAAGAAAAGAAAATCCGAAAAACGGAAACACAACAAAATTATCGGACAAAGTGGAATGGGAAAGTCCAACTAAGCGGAAGCCGAAAATCCGTTTAACGGAAGAAAACACAAATTTCGGCATCGCCGGAAATTGCCTCTCTCTCTAAAAGATACGTGAGAGAGAAGAGAGAGAGGTTGGAAGTATCCATGCTCTTAACAACTTTTTGAATATAAATTTCCCATCATTTCATTTTAAGAAGGTAATCTTGCAAAAATAACCCATAAATTCAAATCAATTGCTAAACTAATTTTCTATTTTACCACTTTTGAAATTAACCACTTTATCTCACTTATATTTTTATCAGTTCTATTTATTTACGAAAATGCCATTAGATTATTATTTTTTATTATTATTTCGGAAATCTATTTTACCAAACAATCTTCATATTCCTCACTTATTCACGAAAATGCCATCACCATCAATTCATTCAACCACCATTTTCAACCAATTTGAAGCTTTTATTGCTTCAAAGACCCATTTTTTAGCTTTGTAACCTTATTTCCTCTTCTCTTAACCTTCTACTCTTCCATTTTTTCACCATTTTCAGCACAAAAATTCTCTAATCTAAATTTTTGAAACTTGATGTTTTAATATATTGCCATATTTGGTGATTTGGTCTAGCAAATCGTTTGGGCTTGTTTGGTAGTGGCTGGAATCAAAGAAAATCGGTGGTTGAATAAGTTAAATACCACTGGTAGGTGATTTTTCAGTCAATTTTCGTGAGTTTTCAGATCTGTGCCACGAAAGTAGACTTCAAAAGAAGTCTGCTGGTCAACACACAGGTTAGTTTTGCAATTGACCGAGTATACCAATTTCTGACAGTAGACTTCAGTTGAAGTCTGCGCCATTTTCTTTGATAACAAAAAAAATAGTGTAAACTTCAAAAGAAGTCTACGTAAAAAGGGGTTAGTTTTGCAATTGACCAACGTTTGACTTTTTCGTAAGAAGTCTACTCGCAAAAGTAGACTTCTTCGGAGAAGTCTACTTTGAAAGTAGACTTCTTCGGAGAAGTCTACTTTGAAAGTAGACTTCTTAGAGGTTAGTTTTGCAATTGACCAATGTTGACTTTTTCGAGTAGACTTCGTTTGAAGTCTACTTTCTGAGTAGACTTCAAAAAAAATCTACTCGAAAATAAATTCAATGTTTGGTCAACCCCAAAACTAACCCAAGTAGACTTCGTTTGAAGTCTACTTTTGAAGTAGACTTCGTTTGAAGTCTACTTTGAAAAGTCAACATTGGTCAATTGCAAAACTAACCTCTAAGAAGTCTACTTTTGCAAGTAGACTTCTTACGAAAAAGTCAAAGTTTGGTCAATTGCAAAACTAACTTTTTTTTACGTAGACTTCTCAAGTAAACTTCTCGGAGTGAGTAGACTTCTTTGAAGAAGTCTACTCATCTTTTGGCAATTGCAAAAGTAACCTAAAATATAGACTTCATATGAAGTCTACATTTGTAGACTTCATTGCAAGTCTATTTTTGTAAACTTCGTTGTTAGTCTACTATTTCACTTTTTTTTATAAACATGTTTTTATCAAATTTACAACGAATTATTAAGATTTTTTTGGTTTTACGATTGTTTTAGTAAGTGTACTTACATTTGTATCAGTTTTACATGTTTATATTATATATATTTGGTGAAATCAAGTTTTTTGTTTTATTTGGTATTTAGCTTATTAGTCTGTAGACTTCGTTTGCAGTCTGCGACATTAATTTTTTTTTTAAATTAATTGATCATATATTTGTAACAAATAAAATTTATTCTTTGACTCTTAAGTGTGTATTATTTATTGTTCTTACTTATGTAGGAGTTTGACATGTTTATTTATTATAGTTTAGCTTTAATTAATTTTCTTGTTCTAATTGGTATTTAGCTTATTAGTCCGTAGACTTCACTTGAAGTCTACATAGTAGACTTCGTTTGCAGTCTGCGATATTAATTTTTTTATAAATTTAATTGATCAGATATTTGTAACAAATAAAATTTATCATTTGACTCTTAAGTATGTGATATTTATTGTTCTTGCTTATATATGAGTTTGAATTTTTTTTTGTTACAGTTTAGCTTTAACTAATTTTCTTCTTTTATTTGGTATTTAGCTTAATAGTCCGCAGACTTCATTTGAAGTCTACATAGTAGACTACGTTTGCAGTCTACTTTTTCGACAATGATTTCTAATGTGGTTTGAATTTTGTTTTCTTACAGAGAATGGTTCACATACCCACTGTTTATTGAGAATGTGTGAAGAAAGACTAGTTGTGGTATTTCTAAGTAGTTTTACATGTTTTTTTTGTTATGAGTTTTACATGTTTTTGTATAGTTAAATTGAATTAATTTTCTTGTGTTATTAAAGGTTCAAAGATGGTGATGACTAAGTCTGACAAAGAAGTCTGCATATGAAATCTGAATATGATAAAACACACATAATTTAAGAATATATAAATAACATTAATTGCAATCCAATTTTACATATAAAGTAGACCTTCTAATCAAACAAACATTTAAGGATCACTAATTATAAATCTTAAAATTAGCATATAAAAACAAAATGTTTGAAATAGATGTATGTGACTGAAGTCAGCTCGAGAAGTCTACTCGAGAAATCTGCAGCTGAAGTCTGCTTCCAACAAAAACAAAAGAGAAATAAATAAGCTCAGGTGTGCACAATAAGAAAAAAAAATGTTAAAATTCATATTTCAACAAAATCTGCTATATTTACAAACATCATATCTGCAGCAAAATGGAAAAAAAGAAATCAGCTATGCAACAAAAAAATTATAGATCTGCAACAAAATAAACAAAATTCAGATCTGCAACAAAATAAACAAAATCAGATCTGCAACAACTAAAAATTCAGATCTACAAAAAAAAAAAATCAGATCTGCAACAACAAAAAAATCAGATCTGCAACAAATTCTACAAAATTTATACCATAAGAAGCGCATATTTGCAAGAATAAACTCATATCTACAACAAAAAACTCAAATATGTAATAATAAATCCAGATTTACAATATGAACACAAAACAAAAAACAAAAGAAACACAAAACCTCAGATTTACTTACCATCACCATAATTGAGATAGAGAGGATGGAGGATATAGATGGGTTTGATGGCAACAGAGGAAGGAGAAGAGATTCATAGCCAGAGAGGAGGTAGAGGAGAGAGAGGCGTTTTTTAGAGGGAGAGAAAATTTTTATTTTTAACCCAATTAGGTTAATCTCCTTATATATGTAGGAAAATTTTCGGTTAAGTAGACTTCTTAAGAAGTCTACTGGAGAAGTCTACTCGAAAAGTCTACTTCGGTATATTTTTTTGATTTTGATTCCCGCCTAATTTGTTCC